CATCCACTGCTTGTTGTTGTGACGCCTTGCAGCCAAGGAGGAGAAGGACTCCTTACCAAGCATCCCACCCACATTTGTGTTTCAAAAGGCGCTCAAAGTGTACCGACAAGACACAACGACAATGGCACAAGGTGTGGCCCGTTTCCCCTCACCATGTGCATATTTTACGTCTTTGTATGTGCGGTTTGTGTTCTCCGCTTTTCGTGCGCAGTGCGGAGCGATGACATTGCAGCTTGCACTCAACTTCGTTTGGTTTGCTTTGACGCTGATGGTTTCACTTGCTTGCCACAGAGTTCTTGCACATGCCAAAGTCCAAGCGACACGCCGTGTTCTCAGACCTCAAGGCCATGAACTACAACCTGGACAAAGGGCACAGTACGTGTGCCGTGCTTGCGATGTTGCGTTTGCTGCCACGGTTGCTGTCACAGTTGCTTCAACATGCCATTCAACGAGGCATGCGAAATCTGACGCACACTTGCTTGAACACACATCTGGTGTGTGTATGTATGTATGTATGTATGTATGTATGTATGTATGTATGTATGTATGTATGTATGTATGTATGTATGTATGTATGTATGTATGTATGTATGTGTGTGTGTGTGATGACAGAGGAGATGGCATCCAAGTACTCCATTGTGCTGAGCAAACCAGACCTGCCCAACGCCCGTCCACAGGCCGATGCAGCAAATTCACATCAATCCGGCCAACAGGACACGTCAGACAATCAAGTCAAGGAAACACCCCTGGCAAAACGCCCTGCACAACCGCACAGACAATGACAGCTGTGTGTGTGAGTGTGTGTGTGTGTGTGTGTGTGTGTGAGTGTGTGTGTGTGTGTGTGTGTGCAAATGACCTGTAAGCAATTTCGCATGTCACGAATGAATGATTGATTGATTGCGACCTTGGTTGTCTTTTCGACACAAGGCGCGCATAGATGGGCTCTTCCTTGAGTGAGCGCCACATACGTTACGGTGCTGGATGCGCAAGAGCGAGTGTATTCTGATTTTTGTTTTGTTTGACACGTGCTATCGTTGGTTACACTTCCTACTGCCCATATGCGTTCTTCGAAAAGAGGGGCAGCGGCAAGGACAGCAACTCGAGATTACAGCAAACAGATGCAACAGCACACATTCTGACATACACGCAACAGCACTCGCAACACACACACACACACACACACACACACACACAAACACCAAACACATCGCATCGTCTGCCGAAACAGAACATGGCCAAGCACAGGCAGATTCGTGACTGTCATCACCAACCACCAACCACCAACCACCATCAACTACCACCACCACCCACCACCAATTCCCATCATCTCTACATTGACATCTGCATGCGGAGACGGTATGCCTCCTCTCCACTCAGGTCCTCACCAGCACTTGCAGCAGGGGCAGATGGCGGCTGCTGCTGCTGCTGCTGCTGTTGTTCTTGTTGCTGCAGTGGTGGGGTTTGTTGTGCAGGCGGTTGCTGCTGCTGCTGTGGAGGTGGTGGCCGTTGTGGAGCAGCCGAGGGTGCCGTGCTTGCAGGCATGGGTGGCCGTGGCGGGGGCACGAATCCCTGACGCGGGCCGCGCATGTTCGGGCGGGAGAGGAGTGGGGGCCGCATGTGTGGCGGGAATGGCATACGCGGAGGGAGGCGGCCGTGTTGTGGCGGCGGCATAAACCCGTGCGGGGGCCGCTGTGGTGGCTGATGATGATGATGATGATGATGATGATGATGATGCAGAGGAGGAGGAGGAGGGAAGGGGGAGTGTTGCATGGTGGTGGCAGTGGTCATGTGAGACTGGGGCTGATTGTGTGTGGGGGGGGGAGATACGAGCTCGGAGGCTGTCACAATGAGCAGGTGCACACACACACACACACACACACACACACACACACACACACACACACACACACACACACACACGAGCATGGGCGCGTGTCACGTACGAAGAATCCTGGGCGTGGAGGGGGCGGAGGGAATGGAAGGGCCGAAGGCGGAGCAGCGGAGGAGGCGGGCGGTGCTGCCGGCGGTGGCAGCGGGTGGTGCTGGTGGTGGTGCTGCTGCTGCGAGATGCATCCCACTGAGGGGTTCAAGTCAGAGGGACAGAGGGTGCATGTATGTGTGCAAGTGAGTTTGCGTGTGTGTGTTTGGGGGGGGGGAGGAGAGAGAGAGAGAGAGAGAGAGAGAGTGTGTGTGTGTGTGTGTGTGTGTGTGTGTTGGACTGATCACTGACGGCCTTATCGCTATGCTTCATCTCCGCCTCTAGCAACGCCCCAGATAGTTCGTATTGTGTTCTCTGGTAAAGACGCTAAAAAGTGACGTATCCATTCCGGTTTGCCAGTAGACCCTAAGGTGCCTCAGGTGACCCGCAAGGAGGCCACATACTAAAGCACCAGTTCCGCTTTGCCTAACGATCGCGTATTTCAACATCGCAGCTACCCTCCCGGGAGTCCTGATCTCCAATCCACTCATGGGGCTGGAAGCTAACTGCCTGTTCGATGCATATTGGGTTACAGAGTGGGCTAAGGTTGTGTGTGTGTGTGTGTGTGTGTGTGTGTGTGTGTGTGTGTGTGAGAGAGAGATCAGCAAAGCCGACATTGCGGTGTCGTGGAAGCTTTACGCATACGCACACACGCACACACACATAGGCGCAAACAACCGCGTGACAGCAACGCAAGAGAATGCGCACCTGTGCTGGTGGCGGTCCCGGCTGGAACGTCGGCGCAGCATTCGGTTTCTCCGCAAAGTACTGGTGACAACAATGATCGATGGTAATGATGATCACGATGGTGGTGGTGGTGGTGGTGGTGGTGGTGGTGGAAACGATGGTGGTGAGTGTGCATGCTTGGATCGCATCTCGATACACACATATACATTTACGCACACACGCATGCGTACGTCAACAGGCACACACGCCAGCAAAAGCAAGGCACCCATCCCTCCCCCCCCCCTCAGGTAATAGGTACCTGGTGGGGCTTCTGGTCCGTCTTGATGACGGGCTTCTGTGCAGCGAGCAGCCGCTCGGCCGCAGACCCATGGCGCTCTCCCCTGCACCACGGTGGTGACGGTGATGGGGATGAAACGATGCTGGTACACGCGCAAACTCACCACATTGACGTGCACGTAACGAACAGACACAGACAGACAAGACAGACAGGCAGGCACACACACACACAGAGACACACACACACACACGCACACAGACACACACAGACACACACACACAGACACACAGACACACACACACGCAGATGTGTTTGGAAGCAGGGTGCGTACTTTGTGTCCTTCTTGAAGGCGTATGTGACGTTGATGTTTCGGTTGCAGAGGTACTGGCCGTTCATGGCCTTGATGGCGGCATCCGACGCCTCAAAGTTTGCGTAGTTGACAAAGGCATACCCCTTTGACGCGCCCGTGTCGGGGTCGCGCATGATCTTCGGGTGCTGCAGGATGACGCCAAATGCGCTGAACGTGTCGTACAGCAATTTCTCATCCACAGACGGGTCCTGTGTGATTGTGTGTGCGATTGTGTGTGTGTGTGTGTGTGATTGTGATTGTGTGTGTGATTGTGTATGGGTGTATGGGTGTATGCGTGTGTACGTGCATGAACGTATGAGGATGTGCATGTGCGTGTGTTTGCGCATACGATGGAGCAACAGCCAACAATCAAGATGGTGAATACAAGCTTGGTCCAGAAAGCGGAAAGTTGCCTTCACGCCCTGCCCACAACCACGTACCAGGTTGCCAATGTACAGGTTGGCACCAACGTCCTGTGTCCTTGTGTGTGATGCAGCCTGTCACACGTGGATGCGTGTGTGTTTGTGTGTGTGAGTGTGTGTGTATGTATGGGCGTTGTAGGCGTGCATGTCGATGATTGGGTAGTGAAAGCAAGAGACCGGAGGAAGACAGCATCACCATCACGTGCGACACACCGAACACTGCTGGAGAGAGTCAGTTCGAAAACATACGCACGCACATACTCACACACATACGCACACACGTTCGCACAAACGATCACACACACACACACGAACACACACCTTGTTGACGCGAATGGGCTTGCCGTAAAGGTTGATCATGTTCATGATCTTGAGTGCGTATTCTGCATCCTCCTCGCCCAAAAACTCAACAAACCCGTAGCCCTGATGGAGCCCAGTCACGCGATCCTTGGGCATGTGCACACTCACTATAAACACCGCGAATCACACATGAGCATGAATGAAAGGGTGAATGAGCGATTTCGAATGTATGCATGTGTGGGTGCAGGTAGTTGCGAGCTAAGACGAAGGCTTTGTGTGCACAAGCGCGCAAACACACATCACACACACACGAGTCTTGGCATGCACAGCAACACGTGTGCGAGACGCACCAACAGGGCCGGCCTGTTGGAAGAGCTCCCACAGGAGACTCTCGGTTGCGCGGTCGTCAAGGCCACCGACATACACGGTGGCATCTGTCCGCCCGTGTTGCGACGGTCACAAGGAAGTAAGCAAGCCGTCAAGTTGGCAGGGAAGCAAGCCGTCACCCGAACGTTCGCGTGTGGCCAGTGAACAGAGCGGTGCACATACATACATGCATGCAGTCGAGCTCAGTCATGTCAAGAGGACAGCACACACCCACAGCATCAAGCAAGAACAACAACAATACCACACACCAGCAAACCTTGCTTTTCCCAACAACACCGCACAAACGCACGCTCATCTGAGACTCCATACACTCAGCACACTGGTCACGCACGCACCTTGGTTCCTCTCTGTTGGCTGCAGGTTCATCGTTGTTGGTGGTCGCGGTGTGTATCGGGAAAATTACGCCAAAACACACACGAAATTCGGCACGGGGTGTGTGTGTGTGTGTGTGTGTGTGTGTGTGTGCGCTCTCTCTCTCTCTCTCTCTCTCTCTCTCTCTCCCTCCCTCTCTGTCAACACAGAACACCTTTCATCTCCTTGCTCCTTCATCCTTCCGACTGCGGTTCCGTGTGAACACGACAGGCACAACAACGCATTTCTCCTCTCCCTCCCTTCCAACAACAGCAACAAGTGCATGAGAGCACATGATGCGCCTGTCGTGACAACGGAAAGGACAATCCAGCTGAAGGCACATGTAATCAAGTCAAATACTGTTGGGTGATGACAAACAAACAACAATCACGTGTGGAACGGTAATACGCAACTCAAAAACATCTCGGTCAGTCAATCAATCCATCCACGAACCAACTCGTGTGAACAAAACTGGCAAGGCTACTGCCAACTCTCAAACACACACACACACACACACACTCACATGCTTGCCGCAAACGTACATCAAGTACACCCACGTAAAAGGGACCCTCTCACACACTCTCTTTCCACGCAACACTCGCACACCCAGCGCCGGGCTTCAGCGAGTTGCAACGACTGCATTGAATGACAACAGGGCGAGGCGAACCACATGCGTAAGCAAATAAACAAAGGGAAAAGTGTGTATGGGTATGGGTGTGTGATGGCTGTTTCAACAAGAACAAACCAAAGACGGTGGCGTGACATGACGCAGTTTACGTGTGTGCACGAAGATACACAACGAACACGCCTGTACCAAAACAACACAGGAAACAAACACAGCACGCACACACGCGCGCGCACACATCAGCAACGTACTGATGACAATGACGGCGATGATGGCAAGGATGACACCACCAATCAACAGTTGGTTCTGTCAGGGTGGATAGGGGGACAGGGGTCAAAAGGGCATGTGGTGGCGTCACAATCATGGAAGAGGGCGTGGCGCACAATGACGGCACTATGCAATCACAGTGCATACAGCACGCTACACACGAACAACAGCACACGCACGCACTTCTGTACTCACAGCAAGCACTCATATAGCAAGCACACACACACACAGCAAGCACAAGCATAGCAAGTACAAGCATAGCAAGCACAAGCATAGCAAGCATAGCAAGTACAAGCATAGCAAGCACGCTCACAGAAAAAGCACACACACACACATATCGATACAGGTGATGTCAAGCGCACCCTCTTGTTCTGCCACCACATTTGACGGCGAAGACGGCCTGCTCTGTTCTGAAATCGCTGACCCTCGGCCTCAAGATCCTCTGCAGGCCACAAGACGCAGCGACGGAACAAGCCACGTGTTTAAGCAGCAACCACAATCATCCCACACGTACGCACAAAGGGTCGCTTCCATACACGCACATGCACACACACACACACGCACACGCACACGCACACACACACGCACACGCACACGCACACGCACACGCACACGTACACGCACACGCACACGCACACGCACACGCACACGCACGCACACGTACGCACAAAGGGTCGCTTCCATACACGCACATGCACACACACACACACACACACACACACACACACACACACACACACACACACACACACACAACGCCCCCCTCCACACAAACACACACTCTCTCACCTGCTTTTGCATCAAGGTCATCGAGCTTCTCGCCGCGCTCAATGACTTTGGTCAAGTTGTCACGCATGACATTTTGGACCTGGAAACAGCCAGGCATCCAAAGCGTTAGTGGATGTGGAGCAGCGTGGTCGAGGTAGCGTGGCAGCAAAGGCGCACCACTCCAACAGCCACACTTTTTTGTATGTTGTTGTGACTGGGAAGCGAAGCCTGCGCATCATTCACAGCGCAAAACGCCAAAACCAGAATCCGTGTTGTCCGAATACGCGGAACGATGATGAAGATCTCACCTCGCCCACTTGACGCTGCGCCTCCTGCAGCCTGTAGTCGCCCGTGCGGTTCGCTTCCCTGCATTCAACAACGCACAGCACACCGAGTGAGCATTGACGTGGCGTCAGTCCTCGCTCGCATGGCTGGTCAGTCGCACCAGCATCGAAAACGCACAACAAGACCAAAGTGCACAGCGTCAACAAACACAAACACAAACACGTGCATTGTTGCGTGTTCTTGTTGCCGTGTCTTCTTCTTGCCCGATGCGCGCGTTGAGATCTCTAAGAGACGCAAAAGGGCAGAGGGTGATACAGAGTGCGACGGATACACACACACACACACATACACACACAGGACAAACAACTCAAGATGAGACGGACGAGCAGAGCAAGCATGCACCACACCACACCACACCACACCACCCCGCACCTTGCTTCTTGGCGTGGTGTGTTTTGTCCTTCCTGGATCGCTTTGCAAATTGCAGACCGCCCAAATTTGTCTGCGCAATTGGAAAATCACCACGTGTTGCGCGCTCTCACACAAAAAGCAAGAGGAAAAAGCACAAGAAGGCACACAAGACACACCATTCACTCGCTCGCGTGCACGCGTGTTCCTATCCTGATCCACGACCACCACGACCACCACACACACACACGCACACACGCACACACACATATACCCCCACGCAAGGTTTCACACAGATCACACAGAAGATGAAGCCTGGTATTGGCATCAGCGTTGGCGGAAGCACCGCCGTTGTCGCAGTGTGCTCGGTGCGTATGCTGTGATGCGATTGACACGTGCGCATCCGCTCGTGTGCTTGAGGTTGTGACAAGTGGCATTCGTAACTGTATGATGTGTGTGGGTATGTATGTGTGTGCTTGGGCGTGTGGTTCTCAGCACTGAGGTTCAGTTTGTTCCCTCAATCAGTCACACACACACAATCACACATACACACTCATACACACACTCATACACTCACACACACACATGTACTCACACACATGTACTCACACACATGTACTCACACACACTCCCCCCATCTCCCCCCTCTTTCCCTTCCCTCTCGCTCACTCACACACACTCATCCCACACCTCTCAACGCTCCCTGTGCTGAAATACAACAATGATAGGATAACCGAGCCGATGTCGTGGCAAACGCTGCTGGTCAGCGTGGCACACCCTGTATTGTGTCCTTCCACGACAACGAAGAGCTCGTCGGCGCTCCCGCAAAGCAGCGTATGGTGCGCAACTTCAGATCAACCATCGTCAGACCATCCACCTTCCTCGGCAGGAAGTGAGTGTGATCCGTGCTTCCCTGTACACGCGTCTGTGTGATTGTGTTGTGTGTGCTCAACAAGTAATGCTGTAATGATATCGGTGGCCATCTCATATCTTGCTTCTGCCATGGTGCCTTTCAGATTCAGCGACGCAGCCACCCAAGAACTGTGCAAGGAGCTCAAGTATGCACCCATCGTGGAGAGCAAGGTGTGCTTCTTGTCACGTGCAAATCCCGTGTCTACGTGCACGTGTATGTGTGCTGTGCATGTGTCTGTGTGTGAAATTGTGTGTATTTTGTGGATGGATCCCTTTGTGTCTGTGCGTGTGTGAAATTGTGTGTCTATGTGTACGTTTGCACAATTGCGTATGTGTGTGATCATGCGTCTGCGCCTGCCATATCTAAATGCGCACGGCGCTTACTAACATCGCGCTTGGTGTGCCTGTGTGTGCCATCGTATCAGGACGGAGCCGTTGGCTTTCAGATTGGCGAGTCCAAGGTCTACGAGTGCACCGAGATTGTTTCCCACATCCTCAAGGAGGCAAAGGCCACGGCGCAGACACAGGTACCGTCAGCACCCCCTAGCACACACACACACACGCGCACACACACACACAACACAAAGCGTGTTTGTCTCAGTTGCGTTTTGTGCATCAGCGCATGCCGTTTGGTTTCGTGTTTTGGTTGAAACAAGTGGTACCACTACCTTCAGTTTCTGTGTGGCTCATGCACGCGGGCGATGTGTCACCGCCACCACCCCATCGAATCGTGTGCTGTTGCAGGTGCAAGATCTGCCTGGTGTCGTCATTACCGTTCCGCTTGACGCAACAGAGGCGTGGAAGACTGACATGCGGTAAGTTTCGCAGAGTACCACATTACATGTGCATCTGCATGTGTTGTCATGATTTGTGCCGTTTTCGCTCCTCGTGTTTTTGTGTGCTTGTTAACCACGACAACCACTTCAACTGGAGCAACCTTTTCGCACACGCTAGCACCTCGACGGCGTCACGCAACACAATCTCACCCCGCAAACACACACCACACCAACACCACCATCACCACCACCACCACCCTGTGCTCCTCCTCCCCCCCCTCTCCACCCCACCACCACCACCCAAGGCGCGCGTGCAAGCTCGCTGGGCTGCATGTGTCGCGGTTCATCTCTGAGCCCGCGGCGGCGCTGATGGCGTACGACATTGAGCAGGACCCGGAGAGCCACAGCCACGTCGCCTCCCTCAACCTCGTCATTGACGTCGGCGGTTCACGGGTACGGCGTTTGTTTGTTTGTTTGTTTGTTTGTTTGTTTGTTTGTTTGTTTGTTTGTTTGTTTGTTTGTTTGTTTGTTTGTTGTGTGTTTGTTTGTGTGTGTTTGTTTGTGTGTGTTTGTTTGTTTGTTTCTCTACGTGGGCTGTCCGTGTTGATCTTGATCTTTCCACCTTGCGTCATGCGCCTGCGATTGTCCCAATCCCTCACGCCTCTCACTGACATGCAAACAAACAAACAAACAACCACGTGCGTCTGGTGGGATCAGACGACGATGGCTGTTGTGCAGTCGACTGCTGGCCTTTTTGAGGTACTGGACTCCCGGTCCACACGCGACGTTTCTGGCGACAAATACGATGACGTCACCGTCTCCATCCTCGCAAACGAGTTCAAGAAGTGAGCACGCACCCCTCATGCTGCCTCTCATTGCTGTAGTTTGCTGTGTGTCTGTGTGCGTGTGTATGTGTGTCTGTGCTTATCTTCTGTCTGTCAGCCTGTGTGTGTGCGTGCGTGCGTGCGTGTATGTGTGTGTGTGTTTGTCTTTTGTCTGTGAGCCCGCGTGCGTGCGTGGGTGCGTGCGTGCGTGCATGCGTGCGTGCCTGCCTGCGTGCGTGCCTGCCTGCGTGCGTGCCTGCGTGTCTCGCCGCCCCTCGTGCAAACCACTTCACACTCACAATACCCCCCCCCCTCTCTGTACTGCTGCGTGTTCGCCTGTGCCAGGAAAACGCGCATGGACGTGACTGACGAGAAGCGTTCCATGCTGAAGCTGAAAACCGCCGCCGATACAGTGAAAAAAACGCTCTCGGTCACAGAGACGGCCATTGCGTCCGTCGAGTCGCTCTTTGAAGGAATGGATCTCCACTGCTCCGTGCAGCGGTGAGGCTGCTCGCGTTGCATTGTGCTTGTTTGATTCTTTGATTGTTGGGGTTTGTGTTTGGGATTGGTGTTTGTTGGTTCGGATTGAGTAGTGAGCCCTTCAACGTGCGTTTGGACCCTGCGTCTCCAGATGCACACCCTCCTTTGACTCGCGCACACTCACCCCTCTCCACCTCCATCATTCCACGACTGATGGTGTTGGCGTGTGCTCGTGTGTGCAGTGCGCGGTTTGAGGGCCTCTCTGGCGCCATCACCCGCAAGTTTGTTGGCATGATCGACGAGCTGCTGAAGTCGTGCGGCATCACCGCCAATGACATCACAACGGTACACGCACCACCACCATCTCATGTCGCTCTCGTATTGGTGCGGTGGCAACAGTGGGGACAAACAGTCACTCCTTCTTCTCCCAACACGGTCTGACTTTATTCCAATCCCATTGTCTCATCCGCTCATCCCTCACACACACACACACACACACACACACGCACACACACGCACGCACACGCACGCACGCACACATATCCCATCCCGCTGCCCGTCAACCCCATTGCAGGTGCTGCTTCATGGCGGCTGCTCGCAACTGCTGACCATCCGCCGCGCCGTGGAGAGCAAGTTCCCCGATCGCGTGCGCACACACATCCCCGGCAGCGACGTGGTGGCGATTGGGGCCGCAAAGGAAGGCTTTGCTGTTGCGCTTCGCCACAGCCACGCCAACACACGGGAGGACAGTCTCACGGACGCGTGCACACTTGAGGCCGACGGACTGGCAAAGGCCATCGCCGTCATGATGGGCCCAACGCAACACAAGGTTGGCTCGCTGCTCTGTGTTGTGTTGTGTGTGTGTGTGTATGTATGCATGTGTGTGTATGTATGTGTGTGTGAATTGAAATGCATTTTCATTCCTTCCTCTCCCTAAGCTCACATTCTGCCCCCTCCCTCGCCCCCCCCCCTCGTGCTCCGACTGCCAACAGGTGCTGCTGCCCAAGGGAACACCGGTTCCAATCCGTGCAACATTCCCGCTCGCCTGCCAACCGGGCGCTACCTCCATGCACGTGGTACGACCAAGTACAAATCTGCCTGGTCGCTTGGGTTGTTTGGGCTGATTTGATGATTCATTCATTCATTCAGTCCTTCATTCATTCATTCATTCAGTCCTTCGTTTGTTCATGTGTTCGTGTGTTCCTTCGTTTGTTCGTGTGTTCCTTCGTTTGTTCGTGCGTTTATGCATGCGTTCGTGTGCTCGTTCGCGCGTTTACTTGTGCGTTTGCGTTCTTTGTTTCTGTTGTTTGTTGTTTGTTGTTTGTTGTTTGTTCAACCACTCCCTTCTTCATCCATGTCTGCTGCGCCAACTACCTACCCCTCACACCACCGCCCCCTCCCCCTAATTGCGTGTGCACCAACAGGTGCTGGGCGAGGTTGATGGTGACGCCGTGAAGGAGGTTGCTCGCTTCGGGCTCAAGGACCTCGATGCATCCAAGGAGGGTGCGGCCCACACTAAACTCACCATCGTCGTTACAAAGGTGTGTGTATGTGTGCGTGTGTGTCTGCATGTGTGTCTGTGTGTGTCTGCGTGTTGTGTTGACGGAGCGTCATCTTCATCGTGCTGCTAATTCGGAGTGGACGCACGCTTCATCGCCAACATGTCTATCCCTTCTTCCATCCATCTTTTCACCTCCCATTCTTGCTCACTCGCTGGCTCATATGTGCTCCGACTCCACGAATGCGTCAACAGGAGGGAGGAATGCTTGCAACGCTGGCTGATGTGAACAACAAGGCGAACGTGGCATCCATTGTTGCAAAGAAGCAGGAGGCACAATAGGCATCCCCATCCCCGTTTCTGTTCAGCTGTACCATGTCGTGTCGTGCTTATTCACTCGTGTGATTGATCGGTGTCGCTGTTTGGCACACACGCACACACACGTGCATGCGAGCAGATGCACTTGCGTACGTGTGTGTTTGCAAGCAATCAAGCAAGCGAGTGCGGGTGTTGGTTTGTTAGATCGCTTGAATTGTTGTGGCTTTTTCATCTGTGGAAGGAGGGCTGTGTTGTTGTTGCCTCTTTTTCGTTGCTTCACCATTTTGTTTTGCGTCTTTTCTCAAAGGGACGCCAATGTAATTACAGCAGTACACACGCAGACGTGAACCGGGTTTTATTGTGCACTCGCCACAAAACGTCTCCACACTCACATATGCACGAGGGGAAGAGGGGCGAAACAAGTACACACAAAGTGCTGCCGTAATGTGTTGGCATTGTTGTGCTGGTGGTGTTGTCGTTGCTGGTGTTGTGGACAGGGGGCCGCCTAATCAATCTTGATGGAGCCATAGATCTTCTTCGTGAACCAGTATGTGGCAATGAAGCCAACCGTGCCTTGGAGTGTGGGAATGATCGCGAGGCGCAAGCGAGCAAGCACGCGGCGTGAGCGACGAGTCAGTCAACAATGGCCAAGTGGGCATGATGTGCTTTACTGCAGTTCAGCGGACATACACGCAAACAAGCAAACAACAAACGCACAGGAACACAACACAACACAACACAAACACGCAAACTATCGCAACAAACACACAAATACCTGTGAGGATCCAGAAGGTAAAGACCATGAGGCCGGTGTACCCAAAGTAGAGCAGCGTCGAGACGCCGTCGTCAACATCAAGTTTGGTGGAGAAGTAGAAGATGGAGTACAGAAACACGTAGATGGCGGAGCCGCCCGACACCACAAATGACCTCCACCACCAGTGGTAGTCCTCCGCGCACAGCTGCAGGTATGTCATGACAATGGCAATCTCGGCGCATGACATGATCAGGATGATGAACACGAGGAAGAGAAAGCCAAACAGGTAGTAGTACTGGTTGTCCCACAGCGCCTGCCATGACAGATTGGGCAGTGCGCGCGTTCCGTGTGTGTGTGTGTGTGTGTGTGTGTGTGTGTGTGTGTGTGTGTGTGTGTGTGTGTGTGTGTGTGTGTGTGTGTGTGTGTGCAAAGTGATGAGCAAGGCGAGGTTGAAGGCAAAGAATTGATTCGACAATTGAAGTCAGCACACACACACAAACAAACAAAGACACGCACACGCGCGCACATATGCCCTGACGTTGAGGATGAAGAAGAGCTCGATGAAGACGGCGCCAAAGGGGAGGATGCCTGCAAGCAACATGCTGACTGCTGGGTGCATGTACCAGACTTGATCCGGCACCTGGCGTGGGATCTGGTTCGTTGTTACGGGATGCTCGTACGCCTGTGCAACGTCATAGCACATCATGGAGTGGGGGGGGGGGGAAGGGGATGGAGTGCATGGCATATGTGTGAGATATGGACGCGGCTGAGCAACATAAGAGGACATACTGTTGCTTGGCAATTGCTCGAGACACGCTTCCGACACATGCCACTCTAGAGCACACCCCCTCTCTTTTCTTGTCATCGCAACTACAACATTCACAACACTCCCACTCCCACTCCCCCTCTCTCGCTCGCCCCACGACAGCAAAGGCAGCAGCCAACCTTCTTGCGGAATCCAAAGAAGTATCCGACAAAGACGAGCGGGACGGAGATGCCGAACCAGAGGAGGACGAGGGCAATCATGGTGGTGAAGGGCACAGCGCCCGACGACTTCTCACCCCAGATGAAGAAGTTGAGCACAAAGCACACCCCAAAGACAACGGTGGGCAGGAACGTGGCGGTGGTGAAGGCGGCGCGCTTCCAGTTCTGGCCCTTGAGCGTCTTGTACAGGCGAGCGCCGTAGTAACCGCCAATCACGCTGGTGTGTGTGCACCGCAGCCAAGACACAAACACAGGGGTGGCGGTGGTGGTGAGTTAGTGGTGGTGAGTTATTGGTGTTGTGACTGGTAGAGAGGAGAGAGGAAAAGTGAGAGCGAAAAAGGGAAGACAGAGGGAGATGCACAGATGTTGAGAGCAAGCCACAGCACAGGAACGTGAACAAGACACTCATGGCGCACGCACGCATGCACGCACCCGAAGAAGACGAAGAGGAGGATGGCAGCAGTCGTGAGGCTGCCGCGGCTCGCAGGCGACAGCATGCCAAGCATTGCCAGGCAAATGGACAGCGCAACCATGCACAGCAGCTGCACGCCGGTCCCGTAGATCACAGACAGCCTGAGGGGGGAGGGGCGTTGGTTGAGAGAGAGAGTGTGTGTGTGTGTGTGTGAATGTGTGTGTGAATGTGAATGTGTGTGAATGTGTGTGTGTGTATTTGGTTGAAGGAAGTAGAGGAGAAGGAGCAATGCGAGTATCACAAACGTGCATCATCAAGTGTTCAATTCAGCCACCATCAACACCACAACCACCACAACCACCACTGCCAGTAACAGCATGGGGAGTATTCCCACCAGAAGGCGCGCTTTGGAGGCCTGAAGACGTCGCCGTGGACAAGTTTCCAGCCGGTCTGCTCAAGAGCCTCCTCCTTGTCCTCCTCGTTGTACTTGGCAATGTCGCGCCGCAGCGTGCGCACCATGATGAACGCAAGGATGCCTGGCGACCGTGGCAGGAAGTGGGGAGGGGGAACGGGGGGTGGAGAGGGAGTCACAGAGGTGGGGTGAGCAGGTTGCAACAGTGAAGAAGGGGTGTCTACATCACAACCAGAAACGGAGAGAAACGCACACAGACATCAAACGTACAGACACACAAACACACATACACACACACACAAAACAAGCAAACGCACCGGAGAGGAATATGACGGTGACGAGGGAGTTGACGATGGAGAACCAGTGGATCTCCGGGTCGTCTGCGCTGAGATAGGTGTCCCAGCGCGAGGCCCAGGCAATGTCGCTTGGCTCCCACTGCACGCTGTACGACCACACAATCGGCTTCTTGCGGTCGTCCGTCACTGGCGAGCAGGTGGATGGATGGGTTGGAGTGGTTGGCAAGGGGAAGGGGGTCAACGGGTGAACGGGGGGAGATGCGAGGGGCAGATGGTGCAATGATATCACAGTTCATGGCAGCGCAGCCACACGAGACAAATGCACACACACGTGCAGTGAACTGACGATACAGAAGCAGCGAAGCATACCCAACGACATATCAGGGGGGGGGGGCACGTGCGCGCCACTCACTTGAAGCCGAGTCGAGGACAAGGCCACCGTGCTCCGTGGTGACGGGCTTGACCTTGCACGACATGTCATTGGGGTCGGATGGGTTGCCCTCATACCGCGACACATCCACGCTTCGTGCCCGCACCTCAAACCCAACAATCCGGTGCCTGCAAGTCACAAGTGTGTGTGTGTGTGTGTGTGTGTGTGTGTGTGTGTGTGTGTGTGTGTGTGTGTGTGTGTGTGTGTGTGTGTGTGTGTGTGTGTGTGTGTGTGTGTGTGTGTGTGTGTGTGTGAACTTGGCGCTATCCACTCGCGACAGCAATTGAAAATGAGGGAGCATATACACATATACACATGCACACACATACACAAATATACGCACACAACCCACTCACGTGCCCTCGTGGCTGCCGGGGTGGATTTTGCCAACAATGGTAACGTGGTTGAAGATATGCGTGCCCTGGAACACATACACAAGAGCACCAGCCACAACAACAAAAACAGAAGGGGGGGGGGGCAGAAGGAAGAAAAAAGAAAAAAACAACGTCAGGAGGCCGTGTGAGGAAACGTTGGGGGCATGCAGCCCAAGTTAGAGACTGGTTTCTAAACAAATCACCACGAGACACGACGGCTCTCTCTGTCCTATACTTCACAAAACAGTGCACAGCCTGCAGCCCAACTGACGATGGTGGGGTCGACGAAGCCAACAGGATATCCGCGGATGTACTTGACCTGCACGCACACGCACACATGCACACGCACACACACGCACGCACAGAAACGAGCACGTCCAGCAGCAGTGAGACGACACAACGTGTGCAATAAATGCAAGCATGAAGATGGTTGTGGTTTTTCATCGGAACACTTCCGGACAATCCACACATACACACACACACACACATATGCACGCACGCACCGTGTCGTCATACTCAACGCGGGTGGCGGCTGGGAGGTTGTCCATGATCCTGCAGCACGCGCGCGCGCGCGTGTGTGTGTGTGATTAAAAGAAGCAGGTTGCAGTCGGCGCGACGGAACGATTGCCAAGTAGCACACATACACACACACACACACACACTCACTCACTCACACACTCACACACGCGCAGGCACACACACACACACAGGCACACACACACAGGCACACACACACACACACACACACACACACACACACACACACACACACACACAGGCGCACTGCCTGGCTTTGTGACCGTACCAGTGCACGCGGTACTCGCCGCGAATAAACTTCTCAAAGCGGTGGATCTGCGCCTTTGTGTAGCTCTTCTCAACGTACTTCTCGCCGCGGCACAGCAGGCGGCAGGACACGTTCTGGTTCATGTGCAGCTGTGGCGTGTGCAGGCAGCGAGCAGAGGGTTGGTGTGAATGGCGGGTCAAGCCAGATGGATATCACGTGGTGTGGTGGGATGTTAACGAGGACAAGAGGGGGCAATGAAGGACTAGTGGCGACCATGACGCAAAACGGGCGACAAAGTCACCAGAAGCGGAAGGAATCGAAGCAGTGGGTGTCAACAGGGAGCAGACGAGGGGCAGCGTGCACACCAAAGCACCGGAACACGCATCTCACAAGGCACAGGGGTGGAATACACAACGCACCTCGTATGGGGTGTTGGTGATGCGGTCGCCGCGGAGCACTTCACCCAAGTTTTCTCTGGAGTTCTTCATCTTCAAAGGGCGGCAGAACGGCAGGTAGTAGTACGGGTAGGGCAGCTTTGGTCGCTTACTGCTGGTCATCTTGACCGACTGCAGATGGCACAAGAAAGCATAGATGCAGAGTGTGTGTGCGTGTGTGTGTGTGTGAACGAGGCAGGGAGGGGCCAATGGTTGAGCGCCGACAGTTGTGCGGTGCGTGTTGCTGTGGAAAGTGCATTCATGCACCAGCGTAGCGTGCACTCATGACAAAGAGAAAGAGAGAAGGGGGCGGGGGCAGAGACGAACCGACAGGGACGGAGGGACAAGCATGCTTCCACCACACACACAACGCAACCACACACACCACAACACACACAACGCAGCAAACCACACGCACACACACAACGCAACCACCACACACACACAAACCACACCACACCACACACACCATACACACCTTGATTTCCACGGTGTCTCCATCTGCAAAGTCCTGTGGCGCAACACCTGGAACGTAAAAGGCAACCGATGCGCTGGCAAGCATGCACAGCAGCACGGCGACAATCGCCAATGCCTTGGCTGGCCCCATGTCGTGTTTGTTCGTTCACTCGCTTGCTGGTCAGTTGGTGCGGTGCTGGTCGGCGGTTGAGAGAAGTGCAGCGCAGCAGTTTTTCCTTGTCTGTGTTTTTATTTCTGGACGGTGATTGGATGGGAAAATAAGGATGGATGGCATTCAGGTTTATATGCTCAAAACGAACCTATATGAGAATATGGAAGCTTTCGCTGAGTGTTACTTCGAAAAATCAGTCTTCTTTTCTCCCCTGTCAATTTCGAAAACTCTGGCGTCAAGGGTTCGAGGCGGCAAGGCTTCGATGCCCCTGACGCTTGAAGCTGTCGGGGCCGATGTCCTCGGCGGCGTGTGCTCGAAATGATGGTCCCACACTCGGCAGCCGTCTTCCTTTTTGTTTTGTTTTATTGCTGTTGTGTGTGTGTGTGTGTGTGTGTGTGTGTGTGTGTGTGTATGTATGTGTGTGTGTGTGTGTGTGTGTGTGTGTGTGTGTGTATGTGTGTGTGCGTGTGTGTGTGTGTGTATGTGTCAGTCTGCCTTTTTTTTTTTTTTGCTCTTGTTGGCTTCCCCTTCCCACCTTCCCACCTTCCCACCTTCCCTCCTTTCCACCTTTCCTCCGTGTTGCTTTGAGGTAAGGTTTACTGTTGACACCGCCACAGGTCACAGAGAAAGAAAGCACCAACAACACCAGTAGTGGTATCGTTGATGGTTAATCGAAAGGTAAAGTTGACACTGAGCAAGTCATCAGTCCTCGCTTCAGCGCGGCGCACAACGCGGCCACTTGGGTATGATGGCCTCATGTGGACTGCACACGTTCCTGCTCAGCAAAGAGAAAACATACAGAGCAACGAGGAGCCAGAGAGTGAGCGTTTGAAACCAATGATAGAATGTGAAGAAAGAGGGTCTCGTTGACTTGGAAAGCAAATGGGTGTCAGTTGCTAGAGTGACGCAGTGTGGTGGAGTGGCCAGACACCACGACAAAGTGCAACTGGTATAGGTTTGGTCTAGTCATTGGGACCAGGGAAAAGCAACAAATGGGAAAAGTTGTGTGCTCCTGTTGGTTGGTTTGCTTCCCAAAGGAAACAAAGCCGCCCAAGACATGTGCGTGTGTGTGTGTGTGTGTGTGACTGAGAGAGCGAGCGGTGAGAAAAACAGGCACGGGCAAAGACATTGTTAGGGGAGGAAAGAGAGAGAGAGTGAGAGAGAGAGAGAGAGAGAGAGAGAGAAGATGACAAATTAAACGAGGAACCACAACACAGAGGTTGAGCGCACTGACGCTTTGGGTCAACAAGGGATCAGGCGATAGATGGTGATTAGATTTGACGTTCGACATGTGCAATGTGCGTTCCGTCTGAAGGAATCGTTTTCCATCACATCCCCCACCAAAATGGTGCAGTGGCACAAAGAGAGAGGGAGAGGGGGAGATGAAACAGAGAGGAGACAGAAGAAGAAGTGAAGGAAAACATAAACGCCAGACCATAGAGAGAAAGAGCACCCTGATGGTGTTAGGGATCAGGCGATAGATGGTGATTAGATTTGACGTTCGACATGTGCAATGTGCGTTCCGTCTTATGGAATCGTTTTCCATCACATCCAACCAACGTACGTGCTCAAGAGAGAAAAAGGGCAAAAAAAAAAAAAAAAAGAGGGAATGGAAGAAGGAAGAGTACAGACGACAAGGGCAACAACAAAAGGAGATGAATAGCATACGTCTTGCTGGAGTGGAAGGGGGTCAGGCGATAGATGGTGATTAGATTTGACGTTCGACATGTGCAATGTGCGTTCCGTCTGAAGGAATCGTTTTCCATCATTCCCCATCCCACAAAGGAAAGGAAAAACAGTTGGGAGAGAGAGAGAGAGAGAGAGACAAACAGACAGACAGACAGAGACAGAGACAGAGACAGAGACAGACAGAGACAGACAGCGAGAGAGATACGAAGCGGTGGTGGGGAGAAAATGAAAACAACAACAAAAAAACGTGCGTGAGAGCCAAGCGAGGCGTGCAACACAACATTTCAAACACCACTGACCATCATCATCATCATCGCAGCGCAGCCGAAGACGGTCCGAGCCAAAGTCATTCCGAGGATGGATGGTCTGTCTCGTCGCAGTCGCGGCGAGGACGGGGAAGGCAGAAATGCCAGTGCCACGTGTTGTGTGTCTTTTTTGGGTGTGGGCATTTTCGCGCAAGAGGAAAAATGGGTAAGATCGCTGCCGAAAGATGAGGGGTGAAAGATGCAAGATGAAAGGCAGCAGCAGCAGCAGTGGGTTGGGAAGATGATGGCGATGGCCATGTGCGATGCGATGTGCGTGCTTCTTGCTTGCTTGCTTACTTCGTCGTGTGGTGGTGGCAGTGGTTGGCACACGTATCAATGCGTGGTTAGCCAGCTCGCCATTGCATCCCACTTGCACATTATGCTCAAGGGGAGTGCTTGTCACACACATTGTCGCTCAATCGCTCACGCACACGCACACACTCACACACACATACACACACATACACACACATCATTCACACATACGCGCGCGATGGCGGCAGCTGACTGGGTGATTGTCGTTGGCGGTGGCCTTGCCGGCCACAGTGCGGCCCACACGGTCCTACAAGCCGGTGGAAAGGTGGTGCTGCTGGACAAGTCCGCCTTCTGCGGTGGCAACTCCACAAAGGCCACAAGCGGCATCAATGGTGCAGGCACCAAGACCCAGAAGAAGCTCAACATCCCTGACACCCCAGATATCTTCGAAGCAGACACCACAAAGTCTGCAGGCCAATGTACGTACTCTGCCACGTGTGTGCATGGTTGTGTGTGTGTGTGTGTGCGGTGTGTGCATGGTTGTGTGCGTGTGTGCGTGTGTGCGTGTATGTGTGTGTGCGTGTGTGTGCGGGGTGCGTGCGTGTGTGCGTGTATGGCCGTGGGATCGGCGCTTGCTTTGCTTGACTCACTTTCCTTGTTGTTCGACTACTACTACTACTACATCCCCTGCGCTGGGATCGACCTTCTTCCTCTCACCCACCCTTCTCACTCACTCGCACTCACGCACTGGTCCCTCAACAACAACAACAACAACAACAACAACAACAACAACAACAACCAACAACAACAACACGAAACCGCTACCTTCGCCCCGCCCTCCCCCTCCCATATCATCAGCGGCTCGTCCACGCTTGATCCACGCCCTCACGCACGGCAGCGCGCCCGCTGTGGAGTGGCTCCAAGAGGCCTTTGACCTTCAGCTCAACCTCGTTGGCCAGCTTGGCGCACATTCATACCCTCGCACTCACAGAGGTGTGGCGTATGTGCGTGTGTGCGTGTGTGCGTATGCGTCTCTCTCGTCTGTGTGTGTGTGTGTGTGTGTCTGTGTCTGTGTGTGTATGCGTGCCCAACTGTCCATCTGTCGATCTGTCTATCTCCCTGTCTCCTTGTCTCCGTTTCTGTCTCTCTGTCTGCTCTCTGTCCACGTGCATGCTTGCAACTGTTGAAATACCTCCCCACCACCAAAGGTGAATGCGTGAACTGGTCTGCGCCTGCTTGCTTATTAACCTTTGATCGTTGTTTGATCTCACCTTCATCCGATCTTGTCTGTGCTGTGCTGTGTTGTGCTGTGCTGTGTGTCCAGGTAAGGAGCGCTTTCCCGGCATGATGATCACGTACCGGCTCATGGAGCGTTTTGAGGATGCCTGCAAGCACCAGCCGGACCGGGCGCGCCTCGTGACCAAAGCCCGCGCGGAGCGCCTTCTGACGGACGATGCAGGCCGCGTCATTGGCGTGGAGTACGAGAAGAAGGGCAAGACATACACGGAGCACGGCGCAGTCATCCTGGCCACGGGCGGGTTTGGCGCGGACTTTACGAACAACTCGCTGCTGCGGCAGGTGGAGGAGCAGTGGCGGGCGCTGCCCATGTGGCGCGACATTCCAAACCTCCCAGCCCTCACCTCCTTCCCCACCACAAACGGCTCCCACACCACCGGCGACGGCATCAAGGTGTGTGTGCGTGTGTGCGTGTGTGTTGTTTGTGTATGTGTGTGTGTGCGTGTTTGCTTGTGTGTGAGTGCGTGCATGTGTTTTTTCGTGTTTGTTTGTTTGTGTGCTTGTTCGCCTGTCTCTATCTGTTGGCTGTCTCTCTGTGCATTTGTTTCGGTGTTTCCTGACCCAACATGATGCTGCGTGCATGCGACGCGGTGCAGATGGCCATGGCAGTTGGCGCAACAACAACAGACCTGCCGTACGTGCAGGTGCACCCAACAGGCCTCGTCGACCCAAAGAAGCCAGATGCAAAGGTGCGCGCACGCGTGTGTGTTTGTTTGCCTGTGTGTCTGTGTGTGTGTGTGTGTGTGTGTGTGTGTGTATCTGTGTCTGTATCTGTGTCTGTGTCTGTGTCTGTGTCTGTGTCTGTGTCTGTGTCTGTGTCTGTGCGTGTGTTTGCTGCCATGATACATGTGTGCTCCGGAATCCCTTCCCGTTTCCACCTCACAATACAAGTCATCGGTGTCACAGGTGAAGTGGCTGGCTGCAGAGGCGCTGCGCGGGTCCGGCGCAATCCTCATTGACGCCCGCGGAAACCGCTTCTGCAACGAACTCGGCAAGCGCGACTACGTGACTGGCAGGATGCTCAGGTCTGTGTGTCTATGTGTGCGTGTGTGTTTTGTTTTTGTCTGGGTGCGCACGTGTCACTTGCTGTTGGTCTTCCTTTGTGTCCTTGCGAGACAATAAGGGTGCAGATAAACAGAGCACGACAAACCCAGACACACGCACATGCATACACGTCATTCATCTGCATGCCATTCCTTGCGCGATGCAGGTGCCAGGCCCCGTTCCGCCTCGTCATGAACGGCAAGCAGTCGCGCGAGTTTGAATGGTGCGTGAGTCGTTGTTGTTGTCAGGCACCATCCCGTCTGTGCCGCCACTTCCATGTTAACACACACACAATGTCTCTCTCTCTCTCTCTCTCTCTCTCTCTCTCTCTCTCTCTCTCTCTCTCTCTCTCTCTCTCTCTCTCTCTCTCTCTCTCTCTCTCTCTCTCTCTCTCTCTCTCTCTCTCTCTCTCTCTCTCTCTCTCTCTCTCTCTCTCTCTCTCTCTCTCTCTCTCTCTCTCTCTCTCTCTCTCTATCTCTCTCTCTCTCTCT